ATTGTAGAGAGGGCGTGATCATCGATACTTTTAATTTTATAGGATGGTAACACTGACTCTGACAGTTCGTTAACAAAAAGCAAGTTGCCGCCATTTTGGCACACATTCTGTTTCTGATCGCCGAAGAGTAAAGATATCCGACAACATCACGCTCATATCGTTATATTTTCGTATGAAAAGTGATAAAATGGAACAAATCCACGTTGGTATACACGCCTGCAGTGTTATTTTAAAGATAGTCCTCCGATATGGACGATCTATTTGGGCTTCGTAATAGCTCCTTCTGACTACCCGCCGTCATCAAGAAACTAAATCAAACAATCTTCGTAACGATGATGAGACATATATTAAACAACATCACATAAATTACTCAGATTCCAAGATGAGTAGCTAAGGTCCCCGTATTATGGAGTATCTGAGACAACGAAGATCACACAACACCGAGAAACGAGACAATATAGAAAAGTTCATATTCTACATTGACCCGGCTGGGAATCCAACCCGGGACCACAAAGATGGCAACACTTTAAAACCGGCGTGCAGAACTTATTCTCTTTAATAACATAAAAATATGTGATACTTTCACAACAGGCTGCATAGTAAAATGCCAAGTGTGACAATTTTTATTGATTTCTTATATTTTGACGCGCACTATCCTTAATGAAACAATTTTTAAATGGTTTCATCGCGTGTATTTAACTTTTATTGACATTTCAGATCCTTTACAGGCTTCGTGTTCATAATGACACAATATTAAGGTGTTGATTGTCCTTTTAATTAAAAGTCTACTTCAAAGTAATACTATTGGACGTATTCACGATACATTTTTTTTATAGTTTATGGAAACGTTTACATTTATTTAATTAAATTATTAATACATTTGACTTACTTATTTACCTCTATTACCGTAATCTACCATCGGTTCCAACTTTGGGAGTCTTCTCTGAGAAGAACTAGCAATCAAACTCCGACTAGAAAACTCTCGCTTTGATTTAAAATAGTTTTTAAATTTCTAATTTACCTACTAAACTTTATTTTTATGCTACAAGTAATAAATGAGTATAGACATATTTCAGCTTTTAAAGAAATTCAACCCTTATGGGGTTGATATGGAATTTCGTTAATTTTAAAGTTACAAAAATGAAAGTCTTTTTTTTCTACTAATAAATAAACGACCAGGATCGAGTTGGACTCGCAGACGAAGGTTCCTTGCCAACTATAAAAAAAGTTCATAGTTAGGTAATGACATTACTGTTAACTAAAAGATAAACCATAAGATTAACCAGCATTAACAGTTTTGCGATCGGTGCAGTAACTATATCGATAACTGCAATTTTTGTTTTTTGTTATTAAATTACATATTTACAGTTTTCAGATTTATTGCTATATGTGCTGTAAGATATTGCTTCTTGCTAAATTTCATGATTCTAGGGAAACGGAAAGTACCCTATAGGTTTTCATTCCCTTATGAAATCGCAAAATATGCAAAATGAACGTGATCTATATAGATCACGTTTTATTTTTTCACAGAAAAAAGAGACCATAGACCCGAGTATTTGGTATAAATATCAACTTTATACCCGTTCTGAAGAAAAAGGAGAGACAGACGATAGACGGATATGAAGGGATTCTATAAGAGCTCAATTTTTTTCCTTTTGAGATACGGTAACCTAAAAATTAGTATAGATATTTCGTACTTCAACTGATTTGCATATGAGAAAAATGCAGTATTACTCGACACATTACGATACTTTTCTCGACATAAAAGGACAAAAGCTCTGAAAAAAGGTTATATGCATATAGATGAGAACGTGCCCCCTCCCACACCCTTATGGTAATATTAAGCTACTTACCCACGTACTGCGAGGATGTAAAAACTAATCTACGAAACTATGTGATCATTTCCATTTATAAAAATTATGCATTTGCCGCTTTTTTATTGCAATTAGTTTTATTTTAAACTTTATAAGGTACGTAGGTAGGTATTTCAAGTTCAAATTTTACTTACAACGCTCGACATGGTAATACAAGGAACAGAAAAAGCCCACAAACCGCTCGCGGAAATTATCGAACTGTGTAAATAGATCATAATACAATAATATTGTAATAACAATATAAAGTTCTGAAATGTGCTTTTGCTGTTGATTATTTAAATTAAAACTAAGAAATCTCGTATCCGTATCTTTATGGCAGATATTTAGATCAGTGAATATTAACGGTGGATATGACACGCATCCGTAGAGAATTAGCATAGCGCAACTCTGGTGTATATCCGGTACGTCTGACTCAAGGCTGAGGTATAATTTTTCTTTTGTCTCAACAACCTTTATTCGGGTTGACGTGGGTCGCCGGACTCGAGCCGAAATTAAAATTCGTCATAATAACTTAACGTCGCCTTAAAAATGGAAAAGTATCCCATTTTTTTATATTTAGTTACTTATATGGCAATATTATAGCCCCATGTTTTTAGAGTTTAATAAGTGATGAAAATGCAAACAAGACATGAAGCATACCTGTGGTGGGTTCATGGTTCTCGGTTTTCTGTGGGATCTGGATTTGCAGAATCACTTACGGGATCGACAGTAGGACTATATTCTGTAAATCCTGCGTTGAACTCGACGTAGAGCGATGTCACAACGTGACAAATATTTTATTTCATTGCACCTCTGATGAAGCGCCATGACAGCGCTGTGCTCAATGTCGAGTTTATTACAGAATAGCAAAATGTTGTGAATTATACTTGAAAGAATTAATATTGTTAATAATGACATGCTTTTAAATGACGTCGTCGTCATAGTTTAAATAAATAATGGTCCTAGCTCACATAAATATTTACGAGTATATTGTATCAATTAAATTGTAAAAGAAATAAAAATCTTAAAGCTGTAAAAATTCATTTATGTATAAAGTTTGATTTTGTAGTCTAAGATTTGGTAATCGTGACTGTACCAGACAGACAGACAAATAGGACAAAATCTTTCTCAATTTATCACATAGATACCAAATGTAATTTTCTTTAAAATTATGAGCTGTTTATTGATGATTTCCACGTTAAAACTGTGGCGTATCAAAAGAAAAAAACACGGATATTTTAAATAATGAATTCTATCATCGTCGACGGAACAAGACGAATGGAAATCAGAAATTCAATTTATACTTTTCAAAAAAAAGAACAATGTTTTTGTAAATCGAACGATAAAGTACTTTAGCAGAAGAGGTTTCGTTTCCGGGCAATTAAGTGGCAGCATTCAAATATTGACTGAGGATTGCTAGGAGGATTGAATTTGTTTCGTTCGTTACGAATTGGGTTGACAGATGAAACGTTAAAGTCCAGGGGCTCAATCCTGCTAATTATAGCACGTCAAATAGCGCTTCGATAGCATACATTTTTGAAAAGAATCTGTCAACATTGATCGATCAAGTTGCTATTGTGCTGATAATATTTAGCATTATTTGTATAATACAGTGGAAAAATGCAATTATTTAAACGCCATTGAAGTATGGTTTAGTAAAATCGAAGCACTAGCTATATGCCTGATATCATTAAAAACATCTCAAGATTTTGTTTAAATTTATTTATTCAAGATAGACGTAGGTACTCGTGGCTCGTACCTAACCAAGATTTATAAATTTCAGCTAAATCATAACAAATCCACCGCCAATCGTTTCTTTCCTCTGTGTTATAATATAATCTATGGATAAGTGGAGTGGAAATAGTCTTTGGTACAGGATATAGAGGATTCGTTGTTTGATTGATACATCAAAATGAAAATAAACAAATTATATTAATATAATCTTTTATATATAATTTATATTACTCGTAACTTTAACTTTGGATATTTGGTACCTGGAAAATTGTGTTTTTCAGGATCATCAAAAAGGATCATAAAGATCATGCATCATAAAGGACATTGATAGATTTTCTACGGGATAAAAATATTTTCTAAGGACATCTACCATATTATTTTAGACTAGTAGAATCCACATCTCAAAGCACTGTACGTAAATATGGTTCTAAACGTTTCATAGCTTTTCTTCATTACCACAACGCGTTTATATCGAATAGCGTGTCAGCCACGACTTTTCGATCAAATATTACCTTAAAAACAATTTTAATACCAACTACCCACCCTTACTAAACGTGTTTTGAATTTAGAGTGGTATGTATAAATTTTACGCTAACGTGTTCACTAATGGAGATTTGTAATTATTGGGAGTTACCGTTAGGGGCGCTACACCGGGTTCCATAGTAAACGTCAAAAAAACTTACACTAGGTGCTCTGATTTTACTTTTCCCTGACCGTTAATTGGCTCTCGATCAAGTTTCTGGTAAAAAGTCGAAAATTTGATCTTATAGCATGGGTTCATTATAGGAAGTTAAAGTAGCGCTAGTGACAGAAAAATTGAGAAGCATCGAACTATCTTGCTATGCGATGTGAAGAAATTATTTTTACTAATAAAATGGTATGGTGCGTAATTACGCAATGAGCCAATGACCCAGCCGTGATTGTGTGTTTTCATCTCCATTACCTACACGATGCAAATGCGAATGCGATTTTATGAAGCAATCTTTGAGTACCTAAACAAGGAGTAACCTTTGTCGGGAGTGAAATAACGAAATTGGCCTACCATTTATTTGGTAGTTTTCTTTCAGCATGAAATGAAATATAACGCCATCTACCATATTATGGTGAAACAAATTTTTCACACGAAGACTGTCAGCCGGGTGACGTGAATGGCTTCACCACAAGCACAATTGTTGGTTACGTGATGATTTTATACCTCAGTAGATGGCACTAGTACTACTTTGTTCAAAAATGAAAAATAAGAAATAAGCACATGTTGATTATGATTTATTTAAATTTAATGTTTCTAAATCATTAATATTTTCCCTTATTTAAACAGAAAAAAATACGAAAAAGAAGTAATGATTATAAAGTTATATTGTCTTTGAATCTTATCGAAAAAAAAGTAATGTCTTACTCTATGGTTTTATATTTGTGTCGAATAGAAATAAGACGAGCGCTGCTGCTTCGCCGGTGTACAAATTAATATCAATTATAATGTGTAAGCCCATTGTATAGGCAGTGTCTACTCGCTTTTTATAGAGTGCTACTTAAAAATTGTTAATCAATCGCCAATTTTCTGTAAAGTGCTGTGTTACAAATAATGATTTGGGATGAAACGTTAGTGACGTCTCGCATTTCAACCTTGGATATTATGGTTACAAGAAAAAGTGTATTTTGAAAATATATCCAGTGTTTTCTACTTGAAAACGTCTGTGACATATAAACTGACTGTGAAGTGGCATTGTTCGACGTTATAGTGAACTAAATCAGTGTTATGTCGGGTGGAAGAAGCATCGACAAGGAACGAAAGTCGCCGAGAGAGAGCGGCGAGGATTCGGAAGATGAAAGCGAAATCCTAGAAGAGAGTCCTTGCGGCCGTTGGCTCAAACGCCGGGAAGAGGTAAGTCAACTGTTGTCACGTTTAAGACATGATAGAGAATTACAATAACTTCACAAAAAAATATACCTAGACAAAGATAATCATCAGCTGATTCACAAGGTTAGCTGATATTAAAAACAAATAAGACGCAATTTGAGCATGTTCTCTGTTTGCCCTTTAAGAAGTTTAGAAATTATTTTTCAAACCAAATTCAGCTCAGTACTATTAGTTAGTTGGATGAATTTTTTTCATGTTTTATATTATTAAAGTAATAGTTTTCTTTGAAATAACTAGTTACCTTATTTTACTGGTTTATACAAAATGATAGTTATGTAGCAATTCTGTTGCAGTAACTAATTTAGTTCTAAACCATGGTATTTTCTATTCAAGACTATAGATATCTTTCTTTAATTTATATGACTACATAATAAAATCAAAGAGCACTATAGTACATACCTTAAAACTTATAAAACATTTGTATCGGCCTATAATTAACTCATATTGCAATAAACAATAAGTTCCCTGTTTTGATTATTTTTATTACATACTTAAGAGAAAATATGACCTGATTGAACCAGATTTTATTCTCTTCATCAATAAAAAAATTCACCACAAAACAGAATCCGGAACTTGGAACATTTCTAAAGCCATTGTAATAATATGGAAATATCTGTGGATTAAAGCAAATTTAAAGTGTTACAAAGATTCCATGAATATTTAACAATGATATTAAATAGAAACTCAATAATCTTCCTGTATGCACGCATGACAAACTTGAGAGTCACTTGTTGACACCAAACGTCACTTTTCAGCAGTTGATAGTAAGATGTTGTTAGGTGCACCCAACAAAAGTGACCCTAGAGTGGAGGATCTGGTTAGTATTTTGAATATCTAGCGAGTGTGAAACTACATTCTAAAACAGTAAGCAAAGATGTTAGGTACACTGAAAAATTTATTCTAGAGTTTGATTTATTGTAATGGAAAGTGATTTCACTTTCCATTACAATGTGCAATTAAGACAAAGACATATGAATCTGAAATACTGCAGCTGCTATTACCAGCATCTACAGTATGTCGACTGAGCTCTAACAGTGGTATTAGGTCTGTTTTAGCAATTTTTTACTATTCATAGGCATTCATTATATCTGGTCCCCAAAGAGTAGTTATAGATAGTTTAATAATGATAGTAATATGAAATAAATGTAATCAAATTGTCTATGAATACACATATTTGCACTGTTCTGTAATAAAATCTTATTTTAATCTTATCTTTAAATTATGTATTGTATCTTATCACACTACACTTTGTACTAGCATTATAGATCTTATTACCTATGTAATAATAAGCTCTTCGATAAATATGTTATTTAAAAGTTTATTAAGTTTTACATAAATAATTGCATGCATTATCCCTTCTTATTTATTCTTATTATTAAAAGTCCTCTCTGACTACTCCGCAAAGGATATACGGTATACAGATATAGGTAAACAGAACCCTTTTGACAACTGCACAACAACATATAGCTCTACTATTTAGGTCTTTTTGGATGATTTCGCTTTTTTGTGCAGTCGTCAAAATTTCTTCTATACTTTTGCCCTGTCACGTAAACATGATACATTAATATCCCACATTTTTCGTGCCCTATTCTTCTAACATATGTTTTTTGTTACCTAGTTCGAACTAATTACTAATGTTAATTACATGAACTTATAACATTATTTTTCATTTAATTATTTTTTATATATCATCTTCATTAGGCCTATTAATTAACTGTTGGACACATACCCACAATAGAGATGATATAGAATGTAATTAAATATGAAGAAATAAGAATAGAATTGGGAAATTAATAAACTTCTACAGAATATATTTTCCTGCCATGATATCAGATAATAATATATGTAACGTAAAATTTACGTCACATGTAATTTTTCATACAACTTGGTTGAATGGGCCTAATCCCGAGGAAAATTTGTTTCGTAAAAAAAAAAAAATATAAACTTCACTGTCGGTTTTGACATTTGTCACTTCACGACCTTTTTAAATAACGAAAAGATGTGACTCTTTTGTTATATTTTAATCTTGTTGCATCAACGGTATTTAAGTAAAAATACCTTATATTTAATAATGGTGGAAACATAACCTACTTAGGGGTCCTCCTTGCCCCATGTTATTTTAGTTTTTTGTTTTAAAACGCCGTTGGCGTTTTTTTTTTTATACAAGTTTTCTTGTACTTCAATTTTGATGTACTGATCATAACCTTTACCGCATGAGCCACGCCACACTCACTTGATACATCACAATCTTGGGCACGCCAGCTTAACACTATATAATTAAGAAGCAGCTATGTAAGCACGATGCATTAAGGAGCAGCTCATTTGGTGATGTAAAACCTTTTTATTAATAGTTCGAAAATTCCAATCACCTCTAAGACTTTAGAGATTATAAACTTAACTTTAATTTCAAAATATATAAAAGTTTCATTCAAATATATGGCAAACCAAAAGTAAAAGTTGTTGTTTGTTATTTACAAGCCCCCCTTGCGATTAAAACTCCAAACTCTCCGCTTTGTTTTCCAGGTAGGTCTGGCGCCTGAAAAAATTTATACTAGTTTCTTATAATTATTTAATTTGTTAGTGACCTACCTTTTGGCAAATTTCTTTGCAAACTTACATTATTTTTAATATCACAATTATAAAAAATTTCATTTTTTTTAATATCACAACTTTCACACTAATTATTTTCTAATAATTTTCTAATAGCAACCATTAACACAGGAAAAAAATAAAATAATTTTTTTAATATATTACAATTGGCGCCAGCTCACAGGGACTTGGTTTTGAAGTAGCGAGCTCACTTTACAAGTATTTTGGTTTGCCATTTTATTAAAATTTTATTTGAGTGTGGTTCAAATTAAATGAAACATAATATGCCTACTTTATTTTAATGTCATAATAACTAATTTGTGTGTACTACTTTATTTTCCCTACCATTTATCTTTGGATTTGTTGCTTGCGGCTAAGCATTTGCTTATTTCTGTGAATACTTGCTGTGTTTACACCATTTAATTCACAAGTGATTATGTGAAAAATATTTTTTTTGTTCAATCACCTACTAAAAGAATTTACTAGTGAAAGTATAAACAAACAGACAAACTCTGTATTATCCTTTTGTTTAAACTGATAAAAACATAGCTATTTGATGTGATCATTTGGTTCATACTTTGTTATTTACATTTCTAAATGCAAATTCACAAAGGTCATTCTCTTGTTTATGCTATATAAGAACTATTCGTTCCAACATTTTATATCTACTATATAAAATAGTTTGTTACATTAAGCTTAAACTTTTATAACAGGTTTCTTTTATAAAAGATTATGTTCTTCAGGTTATTTTGAGTGGTTAAAGAAATTATTTTTATTGAAATTAAACATAGAACAATAATAGGTATTAATTAAAATTGTCATAAACTTAATATTTGAAATTAAATTATTAAAACTTATGTTACAACTTAAAAATATATTACGTAAAGTAATTTAAAACTTAAGTCATAATAATTTGAAAACCTTTATCATCATTGTGGTATTTTGTATTTATTGAACTTGTAACAATTATCATTATTTGCATTTACTTAGAACTTGAAGTTTTAAAATTAACTTTGAATTTTTTGTTATTGAACAAGTGTATACTTAATTTAAGATTAACTTAAAACATTTAGCATTAACTTGAAACTTTTTTGTTATTTGAGTCATATTATTGCAGTAATAATTTACATAAAACAATTGGAACTTAGTTGAATTTTGACAAATAATTTTGACACAGGTTATTAAATTTGTTAAACTTGCTGCATCTTGCTGACCTTTTTGTGTCTTATTTGAGTGAATTGAATAATAATTTCACTGCTATTTTTGCATTCCACAAAAATGGAAACGGAAAAAACTTGCACTGGCTACTGCTTCACAGCCTAAGGAACAGTCAATTACTGTTTGCAACAGATACAAGTGATTTAGCTTCACCGCCTGCTTTTACACACCCACTTGCACCTGAATTGATAAATTTGACTGATAATATTACACTACACAATTCAAGATTGCTTGATTCGCAACCAGCTTTGCAACCAGCGACCACAAATGCTTCACACAATAGTACAAATTTAGGTCATAATTTGGGTGTTGACCATTTGAAAAAGTCAACATATTATAAACGTCCCTGATGTCTCCAAAAGTAAAATTTTGTTTGATGGTAAGTCTTGTGTTCGTGAATTTATAACTAGTGTTGATGAGTACATGGTTTCCAGAGATATTGATGAATACTTTATGTCACATCGTTTTCAGATTTTCTTACTGGTGTTGCAAAAAAGTGGTTCCGCACTGTTCGAGTGAATTATAGTTCTTGGTATTCTCTTAAAGTCGATTTACTTAAACGTTTTGATAAACTTGATTTTGATTACCAACTTGAATTTCTTTTACGCACACGTAAACAAAAATCCACAGAAACTTTGTCTGATTTTATAATAGAACTGCAGGATATGTCTTTTCGTCTTTCTGATTCACTTTCGGAACAAAATTTAATTAACATTATTAAGCATAATATGTTGCGCTCATATGCCATGTATTTTGTTGGCCGAAACATAACTTCTATTGACCAAATTGTTCGATTGGGAAGAGAAATTGAAGAACTCGCTTCAGATAGTAATTCTATTAAATCGGAGTCACGCTCATCTTGTTCTAGGGGTAGTAAAATTCATTTAGTTAACGTTAAAAGTGATAAAAATTTAACTTGTTTAAAATGTAAACGTCAAGGTCATAACTATAGAAATTGTTCAAGCATTCCTGGCATTATTTGTTTTAATTGTCACAGACACGGAGTGACTACCCTCACCTGCGACTGTAATAAATCACAAAATTGTAACAAAAAAGTCGAAATTTCTGAACCGGTTCCAAAAAACTAATTAGGCCTCATCGAGCTCCGCTTTGTAGCGAAGTGCGTCGAGACTCGATGGAAAATAGAAGTGTTAATG